GGAGCCCCCCCTCCCTACACTGGGCAGCTGGTTTAGCCCCGAAACACGAGGACCGTGAGAAGCCCTGCTAGCCCCTCTCACTGGACTAGATGGGAATGAACTAAAAGCTGCTGCAGTCCACTTGACAGTACCGGCCCGGCTCGGCGAGGACGGCTCTGGCACCTTCCCTGGCGGTGAAGTGCTCTGCGCCAGTCCCCTTGCGTGTTTCAGCAGGGGGGGGGTGATTATCGCCCCGCTGGGGAAGTGGCGAGGGGCTGGCGGCGGTCTTGGGCAGATTAGCCCCCTGTCAGCGTGCGGGCGGCGTGCTGGTTGGCGCTCCAGGGCCGTGCCCCTCTCTCCTCTTGCAGGCAGAGCGCGGCTCCCCGGGAGGAAGTGGCGCTGGTGCCGCCTGGTCCGGATGCCCGTGCCCGGGACACAACAAAACGGGCCCGGCGGCCAGAAACCCGCCGGCTTCCCGCTCTCGGCAGCGGAGGGCAGGGGTGGCGGTGGAGGTGGAGAGGGCAGGGCCCCCGGCTGTCCGAGATCGCGCGGGCGGGAGTGTTCGGATCGCCCCCCCGCAGAGCCCCCCTCCCCTGCGCCCCTCCGCCCGCTCCTGCGACGCCCAGAAACCCGCCGGCTTCCCGCTCTCGGCAGCGGAGGGCAGGGGTGGTGGCGGTGGAGGTGGAGAGGGCAGGGCCCCCGGCTGTCCGAGATCGCGCGGGTGGGAGCGTTCGGATCGCCCCCCCGCAGAGCCCCCCTCCCCTGCGCCCCTCCGCCCGCTCCTGCGTTTTCAAGATCGGAGCCCCCCCTGCTCCCATCACTCGCTGCCGCAGCTGGACGGAGCGGGCCAGGAAAATAAAGCCTTCCGTTAGACAACTTCCCGGCTGGGGATAGTCTTCCCAGAAAAAAAAGATTATGTCTAAAAATATTCTGTTTACATCATAATGGAGGGGCAGGGGGCTGGAGTGACCCGGTGTCCCGGGACAGGGAGAGAGGGCAGGACGGAGTGCTCTCTCCTGTCCGGTACCGGTCAGCGTCACGCTCCCCCTCGAGTTCGTTCGAGCTGCTTCTGGCAAGGGCAGCGGCCTCCAGCCTCCCGTTCCGTCTGGAGGGGGCTTCCGGACTTCAGGAGCAAGCGGATACCAGCTCTGGAGCCGAGGGACTTAGCGAGAAACCTGAGCAGAGGCCCTCCGTTGACGTCTTACTCCGACACGGATGAGCCTAACGGGCGAATTAGGCTGCGCGTCATCCCCGGGCTCATCCGATTAGAGGAGCTGAGCAGAAACCCATCAGAGCGCATCAGGGGCTGGGCACTGATCTGCCCCCCGATTCTCAGCCAAGAGGAGGATACTCTCGCACCTCAGCTGGCCCTGAGGGGGTGCGATGCGTGTGAACACAGTCCAGCGGTGCTGAGGAACAGGGCTCCTCCGGCACCAGGGGGACAGCTGGACTCCTGTGAGCTCCCTCTAGAGCCGGAAGTGTGGGCTCACGTCTCCCCAAGCTCCTTAGAGAGTGGTCCCGATTGATTAGGGGGTGAGGTCAAGTCTAAAGAGGGTGTTAAGAACTGACGCAGACCAGTCACAGTGCCTCACTTGTCCTGTTCTCGTGAGGGCAAAGAGGGTCAGTGGCACAGTCGGGGCTTGAACCCGGAACCCCGCCTTGCCCTCCGGACTGCACTCTTAAAACCCGAGACGGGCGCAGACACGCGGACACGAACGGAGGCCTGCTTTTCTGGAAGCAAGGTGGAAGGATCTCC